ACACACACACACACACACACACACACACACACACACACACACACACAGAGCCTCCCTAAAACACCATAGTATATGTAATAAATGTAATACAATATTTATAAAATATGTAAATTTCAATGCAACCATAGACGACATAGCAGTGACCAAAGCCTCAGAATAATCATCAGGCTACAGATTTTGAGTGTGAAAATAAATCTCTAAAGAAATCTATAAGAGTACTGGCTGGTGGTGGCATATACCTTTAATTCCAGCACCAGAGAGGCAGAAGCATGTGGATCTCTGTGGGTTTGAGGCCAGTCTGGTCTACAGATCTAGTTTCAGGAAGTCTACACAAAGAAACCTTGTCTCTCGAAAAACAAACAGCAACATGAAAGAAGGAAGGAAGGAAGGAAGGAAGGAAGGAAGGAAGGAAGGAAGGAAGGAAGGAAGGAAGGAAGGAAAGAATCTTTAAGAACAGCAGGGCATATTTTTGAAAAGTCAGGGTAACTCTAGTGGCTGGAGAGATGACTCAGTGGTTAAGAGCGCTCACTGCTCTTGCAGAGGACCCAGGTTTGATTCCCAGCACCCACATGTCAGCTCACAACTATCTGTAACTCCAGTTCCAAGGAATCCAATGCGCATACATATACAAAGGCACGTACACACACAAAATTAAATAAACAAACAAATACATTTTTTAAACAGACAGGGTCTTACTATGTAGGCCTGGCTGGTCTGGAATTTGTCATGCAGACCAAGCTGATCTTTAACTCTGCTGCAGTGCCAGGATTAAAGATGTGCAATCTTATGCCTGATTCTGACATTTCTGATCACCCTTGTAATATTTTGTTTCGTTTTTGTTTCTTGAGACAGGTTTTCTCTGTGTAGCCTTGGCTGTCCTGGACTCTATTTGTAGACCAGGCTGGCCTCTGCCTCCCAGAGTGCTGGGATCACAGGTGTGTGCTACCACACCTGGCTAAGCACACCATCTTTTAAAGTGGGGACTCTACTACTTTTAGAGGAATAGTTCCCACCATTGCCCTTCTGCCCATGGTTCACCCACTCACCCTCCTACCTACTTTTGTTTTTTTTTTTTAGAATGCAAACTATCTGTCCCTGAGAGGCTATTTTTGGAAGCCCTACTTAATCTCTGTGAATTGAGAAATACTTTTGGACATACCTGGATGATGTTGTCATGGCAAGAAGTAAGAAACCAAGAGCTGAGCCTTACTCACAGTAGCTAGAGCTGAGCCTTACTCACAGTAGCTGTTTTGGCTACAGAGGCCTGACAAAAACTATAAGTTTACCTAGAACCATCAGCAACCCCAGGCTCTGTTTGTGGATGCTGGATCTGGCTTATTAGGAAAGATGCCTAAAGTGTCATGCTCCATTTTCCATCTTCGGGAAAGAACTACAGGTGTGCTCTGGTCCCCCATTATCTAGCACATAACAGAAGTGGGATGCGCATCACTCAACCCTGTTACAATGTACTTTGGGGGGGGCCTCACGGTCGTAGACTAAAAAGGTTCCGCTCAAAATTTTACAATTGAGATTTTTAAATTTCCCCATTTTTATGGGACCCAAGAGGTAGGCTTGCCCTGACATTAGTAAATGTAAAATCTCGACAGTGACGGGGAGCCCTGGAGATGATTGACAGGGACACAGATCACTGGCCGCACAAAGTCTGACTGAGTCTCCTTCGCTGCATTAAAAATAACTGAAGAGACCCCGACCTCTCCTCGAGTTTTAAAAAACCTTTGAAGGGTCAACACTTCCCAAGAATCAGAAGAATAGAAGCCCTCCTAAGGGCCTCATAAAACTCCCGTTACACATGGAAATGGTTTGGGGACAGAACTATTGTGTAAATTGCTTCTCCTGGAGACCAGAGGAGAGGCACAGCAAGAGTCCTGGGCGCACACGCGGTCCCTTGATGATGTGTCATGAGATCAGTAACAACTGCTCAATTGCTTCCAGACCCGGTCTTGCTCGCTTTATTGCTCATTTTGAGGATGAAAAACCTCTCCCAACACGCAGTCTCTTACATCCCCCTACTCATCCCCCCCCCCCCCCCCCGCCTCTCTCAGCAGGGGTCAAGGACTGCAAACCCTGCAGAGGAGGCACCCGATACAAGGAACAAGCTCATCTGGTGTCGCCACCGAATCTGGCCCTAACTGTCTCAGCAACTTCTTACACGGCCCAGCACCCTGCCCCCAAGACAGAAGACCTCAACCACACAACCCACTTCCAGGATGGGTTGCAGGGGCCAAGGGAAAGCAGAAGTGCCAGAGAATGCTGAGGTTGCTGGTTAGAGAGCCCGAGTCAGCATCTACAGGAACAGAGTCCTTAGGAAGCAGGCTGCTCTCCCACGAAAACCCCAAATGGAGCAGCCACCCCAAGAACCCCAACCAGTGTGTGCAGCTCCCGGGAGATAGCTCGGGCTGGCCACGGGGACCCTGTGACTGGAGAAAGGCACGGCTCACCGCTGCTCGGCTGTGTCCAGAAGGAGCCAGATGGTCTGACAGACAAGCAGCGCGAGGCACCCCTCCCTGTCAGAGCATGTGTCATTAAGCCCTGTCTGGAGCCACGTTTGCCTCAAGCTCGTCTTAAACAAACAAATTCAACAGTGATCTAAGTGCAGAAACACCTTTCTCCAGTAAGACCTGGAGAGCTCCGACGTTTCAACTAGTGTGGCTTTTAGAGGGAAGAGATGGAAGAGCGAGTGGGGTGGACAGGGAAGAGCCAAATCGTTCTAATCAGCAGTTTACTAAAGTAATTCAAGTTCCTCTCTGGAGGAGAGGGAGGGAGAATGACAAGACTCAGACTCACGCTCAGACACAGATGCTGACATCGGGAATGGTTTGGAAGGAAAGAGACTGACCACTTACAGTGATGAAAGCACGGGTGATTTTAAACGCTGCTGTCTACCATTCAGAACTTTCCAGATTTAAGAGTAACCCTCCCGCTCTCTGGAAAAGCAGTGCCCTTGACAACAAAGAGGGTGGGGCAGAGGGGGTTGCACGTGAAGTAAGGAAGGGGCCCCTTGACTGGTTTGCCAGATGGTCTCCATCAATCCTCACCACAGAGAGACACGGCATAGCCTGACCACGTTTCCATCAACTTCCTATTTCCCAAGTTTTCTTTAAGGGCTGAGTGTAATTTGGTGTGTTGGAGTGGGGGTGGGAGAGAACGGGACGTCCCGTCTTAGGAAGTCAGGGAGCTGGTGCACTGTTCACCTGGACCTTCAGATCTTGGTACCGCCCTGTTCTCTCAATCCATGGCCCATGAGTGTCTTAAGGTCACAGGGTTAGATGGGGGAAGGGAAAAGAAAGGCCACCAGGGGACCTTCAGACACACGCTTTGGCAGAACTCCTCAGCGTAAGATGAACTCAGAACTGTGGGTTCTGGTGGGTGGACAATAAAGTGTGTTTACTCAGCCTCAGGATCCCCCAAATGTTAGGTTTTGTCCCTCAGAGATCCACTCACACATCCTGTACCAACTGCCCTGTGCCCGCTAGGCTCCGTGCTCACTCAGGCTGTACCGTCTCCTTCCACTCCCAAAGGAACACAGAAGCAAGCAATGCTGGCCCCGTTTTAGAGATGAGAAAACCAATGTCCAAGACAAGCCAAGTGTCTGGATATTAAACTGTGCAGATGGATTTGCACGGGCAAATCTGCCTCCGGACAACACAGGCTAAAGAGCCTTCTGGAGCAAAAACATTCCCAAGGGCTATATCCGACTCCTGATTTCAAGAGGAAAACACTGTAAGATACTACTACTGCTACTCCAGGGCAGCTGCCGTGACTAAGGAGAGTAGAAACTCCACCCACCATGCTGGAGTTCTTTAAGCCAGGTACTGTCAGCTCCCAGGAGCACGGCTTGGACCCATTAGAGAGCCAGGCGTGTGCTGGGTACTTCATTTGGCCTCATTTCTCACAACTCCGCCTCTGCAGCTCCACAGCCCCCCTTTCCCGTGAACCTAGAGGGAGCCATCTCGCTAACAATGGCGCATCATCACTCTGATGGTGGCCTTGCTCCCCGTCAGGGTTTGCATAAGGATTCCAATTTCTCCACGTGACACCCCTACGTCCCCCACTTGGCACAACGATTCTGAACATTTCAATTCTGCCATCCCCTGAGGTGTGCTCAAATGTGTCTCACAGGAGCTCTGTTCATAGAAAGGAAGGCCCCTCTCCTCCCCACCTGGGTAAGTAAGCCTACCACGTGTGCTTTCCATGGGGTCACCCTGGGTCATCTCCCACCACACTACTTCATCACATGTCCCCTACCCCTACCCCATGCTTTATCTCCACGGCCAACCCCTACCCATCAGACATACTGCCCAGGCAAGACCTGCCAGAACTGGCCCACAGCAGGCTCCTTCAGGCTCGGCGTTTAGGTTCTGGAACACGAGGGGGGAAGGCAGACAGGGCTCGCCACAGGCATGGTCCCTTTCCACTGCCACCCCGAGAAAGGCAGGTATGAATGGGTCTGGGGGCCTACCTGAGCACAGGACGCCCTTGTTCCTGGCGCAGGAGAAACTGTCACACTCGCAGAAGGGCCCGTAGATCCTCCCGAACTCGCTCTCGAAGCAGGAGCACTGGTTGCAGCTGCACTCTCCGCGGCCGCTGCACAGGGGCTTGCCTTCCGCCTCCCGGCACAGGTTCTGGTACCCGCTCTGGCTCTCCCCCTCCTGGCACTCGCACCTGGTGCCCAGGTAACTGGGGTCACACTCACACAGCCCGCATACATATGTTCCGTTCCCACTGCATCTGGTGCTGTTGGGCTCCAGCCCTGTGCTGCAGCTGCACGTGCAATTGTAGGCGACTTCCACCCGCAGACTGTCGCGGAAGCCTACGGGCCTCAAGGTGAAAGCTTGGGCCGTGTGTCTGCCGGGGCAGCTCCGAGCCTCCACGGATACTTCAAAGGACGCCTGGGGAGAAGGAGAAGAAACATCGTATCATAGCCATAGCAAGCCAGGGCTCCCATTCCCCAAGGGGTCTGGCCAGATACACGCCCTTAGGAGTACTGTCCTGTCCAGCACAGAGGCGGAACCCTGCTAGGGAGAGACAGCGCGTCAACCATCCCAGCTACTTCATGGAGAAGAGCAGTTGGTTATGCTAATATTCAGTAGGAACTGGCCGAGAGAGAGACTTCACCATCCATTCTCATCAACTTTCAGACCCAGAGTAAACGCATGAGGAGTGAGGTTTGCCCGGCTCCCACTCTCCTCTTTATCCCTGCTTCTATCCCATCCTTGTCCCATCCCCGCCACCGTACAAGTCTCTCCTCCCGTCTCAGAAGCCATTCGTTCAACCAGCATTTACTCTCCGTGCCAGGCCTGGCTGGATGCTGAGGTATGGTAGCAGCACCTGGCAGAGAGCAGCCACCTGACACAGAGGGTTCCTTCTCTGTTGGAGAAGGGGAAGGATGGCACACCTGGATGTCCCCTCTCACGCTCCAGCTCCAGTTCCCTGCAAGAATGGTCCTCAGGGCTATATCTTGCCCAATCCGCCCACAGTCCTGCGGCTGTAAAGGACACCCACTTCCTGAAAAACTATCACACACAGAGGCACTCAAAAAAAAAAAAAAATTAGGGAAGAGTTCCTTACAGGCTGCCTTGGAAGCGGACAGCAAGGAGGACCTAGCAGGGTGACAGATGACAGACACCACAGGAGCCAGGTCTGTAAGCTGCTCACAAGCCTGGAGGGAACGAGAGGTTAGGAGGAGGCTGGCTTTGATTCTTAGGTATCAGAACATGATGCCACACCTCGCCTGCCTCTCCCTCTTCAGATGAAGGAGCTGTGTGGGGCGGGATCCACACTGGTGCCTCATTACAAGCCCTGAGAACTCCACAGAAACGCAGATAGGCAGGTGAAGGGTGAAGGAACCTCACCAAGACGCACCCCTCTGGAAGTGGGGATCCCCTTCTCAAGCAGACATGCCTGGCCACACCTCCAAGTGCCCCTTATATCTGAGCCAGTGTCTATTTCCAGGACACCTCAGATTATTCTGGGGTTCAGAATTCGCTGGCTGGGCAGCCATGTAAGCCAACCCTTCACAGGCTTTCATGGCGGTCTCCCCTTCAAGGGAGCCAGTGATATCAGAGGGATTTGAACTTGTCTGGTTACATAGCAAATAGGGGTTGTGTTCACCTAGAACAGGCCTGCATTCTCCTAGCACATTCTTCCTAGGTAGGAGAACAGTTTGTGCTCATACAAAGATATGGATAGAAGGTTGATTGATGGCATTAATCCCAGCATTTGGGAGGCAGAGGCAGGTGGAGATCTGTGAGTTTGAGGCCAGCCTGGTCTACAGAGCAAGTCCCAGGACAACCAGGGCTACACAGAGAAACCCTGTCTCTTAAAGGTTAAAAAAATAAAATAAAATTATATAAAGTATGGTAGCCTGGCTCAGAGACAGCATGGTGGCTGCTCCCAAAGTGATGGTCACAGGCTTCTCTGAAGCTTTCTGCCTTAGGGAGTGTGCTGAGCTAGCACACAGACAGGGCTTGAGGGCTGAGCCTAAGCAAAGTTATCTATGGGGCCTTAAAGAATTCAGGAAAACAGAGCCTTAGGGAGCCTGATGTCATTCCTTCTCTGTGACTTTGTGCAAAGCTGCTACTTCCTGTGCCTGGTAAATGAAAAACCGGAGATCAGAAATTTAATTAACTGCAAAGGAATGACATGCTGCAAAAGCCAAAGGCACTCGGCTATTGAGACTCCGGTGAACACAATGCAGACCCATCTTTGTCAAGGGAGAAAGTAAGGAATTAAGCAGAGAGGAGGATAAGGAAGGGGAGGAGAGGGGGGAGAGAGAAGGAGAAAAGGAGAGAGAGAGAGGGAGGAAGAGAGAAAGGGACACTCTTTAGCCTTGCCCACATGTACCAGGATAAACTGAAGTGTTGGGGCCTGTGAGGTGGAGCCAGGACACGGAAACTCTGTCTGCCTGGCTAAGACAAGGGCTTGGCTTCCCCTTCTCTGACCCTTATCAGCCCAGGCTTCCATCCAGAGGAGGTACTATCTGCCCGGCCTGCAGCCGACTCACTGATAACCTGAGAGGGGCATTGTCTGTCTCAGCCACTAGCTTTTGGCTCCTGCTGGACACAGGAATGCTATAAAAAGGCAGTCAGGACAGCAAGTAAGTCTGTTTTGCTCACTACCCCCCCCCCCCCACTGGATCAGCAAAGAACCCAGATCCTAGAAGGCACTGGGACACAACTTGTTGGCTTCCCTCCCTTGGTGACCGAGGTCTCGGGATCAGCACTGATACTGAGGGCTCCCCAGGTCCTGGAGACTTTCCAGGCTCCTATTCCAAGACTCAGTCTAGAGGAAGGGCACTGATGTCGCAGCCATCCTGGCCAGACTGGTGGTTCAACCTCATTGGGATGGTTTGAGTTCTCCAATGGAAGCCCACCCTTCAAATGGGGTGCCCAGACCCGACCCCCCCACCTCCAGGGTTCTGCAGATGCCAAGTCCATTCAGATCTCAATAAACAAAAAGCTGAGTAGGCCCAAACCCCGGGCCCAGAGGATCGGACAAGAGCAGGGGTGTGTGTGTGTGTGGGGGGGGGAAGCGGGGTAATGTCGTGAGAAGCTGTGACAGTAGCTCACTGGGCCCTTTGTGTTGGGTGCTAACGCTAGCTGGACAGCCAGCCACTTACTTGCATACTGATTTGTCAAAGCCAGTTTCTAAGAACACCAGCTCCCAGGGCGTAGGTCAACCCGGTCAGGCTTGTTGGCGAATGGCCCCGGGTGGGTGGGGGTTTGTTAGAGGACCACCTAAGAACTTAGAGAAGGGAATCTGGTTCAGGGCTTTGGGTTTTAACTTAAGGATGGTTTCTCGTCCAGGACTTCCTTGCTTCCTCTACTGTCAAGTCTCCTGCTTCTTAGCCACAGAACCACCTCTGTTTGGAAGAGACCGTAAGCTACTGCCTGCCTCTCCCTCACCTTCTCAAGAAGCTGCGATTATTAGAAGTGAGGTCGACTTAGCCCACCTGTCCCAGTGCCGGCCCCAACCCAACAGACTGCACTGCTGTCCCCAGGCTAGACCCTGAAGTACCTGTTGACAGATGAACTGTTTTCCTAGCCCTAGAGCCTCAGAGCCTTTGCCTGGACTGTCACCATCCCCTGACATGTCCCTTATCCTTCCTAACTTGTGACATCCAGAAAAGAACCTGCTGTCAAGGACCAGCTGGGCCCTTAAGTCTGACACAATTGTCCTTCTGGTGTAGGCCAGCTATTATTCCTTAGTCAGCCTACAACTATCATCTCTGCGGCTCTCTGATACTCCCATCCACCCACCCACCACAAAGGGCGGTGCTTTTATTCCCTAGCAAACTCACCTCACCCACCACCTTGTAAGGCAGGGTTTCTCACTACTGGGGACCCCACCTTCCCTCTGTGTCTCAGCTCCCACAGCTCTGTTGCCAGACCGTCCTTCCTTGCTTACCGGGAAGATTCACTTGCATAGTCACCCCGTCTACTGGACTCTACGCCCCTCCCTCCTCACCTCTGCAGGCTGGTGAGCAGAACGCCAGCACGTAACCATTTACCAAACAGTACATTTCTGCACAGTCACCAGCAAGTTGGGACATCCCTGTGTTAGGCGCTGAGTTGCTGCCAAAACTGAGATGTAGGCTCTTGGGAGAGCACGGTTCAGGCAGGAGGAAGAGAAAGCCTCCCTTCAGAGGCCTCTTAGGAGTGTCACAAGGATGCTGTTTGGAAATGCACCCCCTCGGCCTCACAAATGGGAGGAAGCACAGGACACTCCCAGACACACCCACACACCTCTGTAAAAAAGAATTGAGGCCACTGGTCAATACAGCCCCCCGCCAACATACTCTGTATGCCCTCTCAAGTGCATGTGTTTCCCTGGAGTTCTACCCACAATGCCCTGACCTTAGTTTTAGATTTGTTTTTTTGAGACAGCCCTGGCTGTCCTGGAACTCTCTCTTTCTGTAGACCAGGCTGGCCTCAAACTCACAAACTCACTGGCCTGAGTGTTGGGACTAAAGGTGTGTGCCACCACTCCAGGCTCTAGCTTAAAGTCTTAAAAAAAAAAAAAAAAAAAAAAAAAAGACTATTTTTCAAAGTTATGCGTAAGTCAGATATGGGGACACACACCTTTAGTCCAGGAGCTCAGGTGGCAGAGGCAGGTGGATCTCTGAGTTTGAGGCCAGCGTGGTCTATAGAGTGAGTTACAGGATGGCCAGGCTATACAGAGAAACCCTGTCCTGAAAAAACCTAAAGTAGTAAATTAATTAAATTATGTGTATCTAAGTGGGTGTGGGCATATGTGAAGCAGGTTCCCTCAAGCATCCAGAAGCTGGTCCTGGATCTCTGGGAGCAGGAGTTACGGGCATGTGTAAGCCACCCAACGTGGGTGCTAGGGCACCCTAATCCTTAGCCCATTACTCGAGCCCCTTAAAATTATTCTTATTCGTCAGACAGACCTCACATCTCATGGTACTGGGCTCACACAGTCCAGAAAGAACTACTCTTGTGATCTGCATGACCATGGTGGATACCCGGCACACCCAGCAGAGAAAAAGAACAGCTCTGTGCAGCCGTCTACACACAGACAACAAAACCCACACAGCTCTTGCCAGAGGGGCCATGTGACTGTGGCCCTTGGACATCGGGACAACACTGGGACAGAGAGAAGATAAAGGGCTGGTGGAAAGGCTTGCCTGGAGACCTGCTTTTATTTCCATAGGGCTAGAGCCACTGGATCCCAAAGAAAAATGGGCCACAAGCACCGTCTTCATTACTGCTTCAACTGTGCTGAAAATCATCCCCTCACAGCAGAGATTTCTCAATGCTGAGGAAAGTTTCCATTTGAAATCTTTTTTTTTCCCCCTTTCTTTCTTTCTGATTTCCGGACAACTGATTTCCTGGGCTCCCCCAGCCGAACAAATAAGAGCTGTGCACAGTGAGTTGGAGCCTAAGCGGCAATGATCCCACCCCCTGCCTCTGAAGCTTTCGGTACCCTGTGCCTGAGGCCTACAGTGAAGGCCTGAGCTGTGGCTTTGTTAGCGATTTGGGTCCTGCTGCCTGCTTGCTCACTGGCAGTGGGACCTGGGGCCAGTTTCCCAGGCTCCTCTTTGGGCCTCAGATTTTCACACATTAATGTGGAGAAATATAGCTAACTGCAAAGCTGCCGTAAGAGACAGAAATCAGGGTCTGGCTAGAGGGCTCAGCGGGTAAAGGCACTTGCTGTTCTGCCTGAGGACCTGAGTTCAATTTTTGGGACCCACACAATAGAACAGAACCCACTCTTGCAAGTTGTCTTATGACCCCCACATGCAACACACATAAGTAAATGCTAAAAAGAAGAAATAAATAAACAAACAAACAAATAAATTAGTAGCAAGTCCCAACTGGCTGCATTGTAAGTTAGCACAGGTGGCTAACATGGCTGCCTGGGACGAGGAGGCTATGATTAGTAAGAGGAATTAATCTGGGTGAGCTTGAGCAGGTTACTCCCACTCTTGAGTCCCAGGCTGCCCATCAGCAGCATGGTATTCTGTCGCAACCAATGATGGCTGCGGAAGCTCAACATGACAAGGACGCAGAGGGACTGCTCTCTGGTGAAGGTTCCAGTCCATCGCCAGGCTGTCCTGAGTCTTGTCCTCTGGATGCATATGGCAGAACAGGTCATGGGTGTCAGAGTGGTGTGGGGTGCGGGCTACAGAGCAGAAAGCCTGACCTTGGCACTTTAACATCATTAATTCTGTATGTTAGGACCCCCAGTCTGTCACAAGGGTGACAATGTCTTCCTCACAGAGAAACTAAGAGGGAAACACAGAAATGTTTGCGGTCTAGCCTGTTTCCTGTCCCTCATGGGATGAAATGTGTTTCCTCTGTATTCCACAAAGGACTCCAAAAGTTCTATCCTTGCAATTTCCCTGTTTCTTTAAAGCGGCACGAACAGACTTCAGGTCCACTCTGACTCAAGGTGGCATTCTCAACAAGCCCCAGTTCTTTTGCTGTCTGCTTCTAGTCAATTCATAGTGACAACTGCTTGTCACTTTCGCTTCTCAAAAGACTCCACCATACAACCACAAGCAGTGTGAGCAGAAAGGAAGAGTGGGTACCATTACCTCTGGGGTTCCAAAGGTCGCCTATTAACACGGCCCCAACTGGCACACCACTGGACATTTTTGTATTACATTCGTATTTCGGTTCTTTACTCTGGTGGAGCACGGGGTCCGGCCGGGAAGCATGTCTGGCACATATGTGCACATCAGAGGACAACTGGCAGAGTAGGTTCTCTCCTCCCAGGGACCGAACTCAAGTGGTCCATCAGGCTTGACAATAAGGGCTCTGACCCTCTGAGCCACCTCACCTGCCCTTGGCATGCCGTTTGTTTTTTTTCAGACACAGTCTTACTATATAGCCCGGAACTCACTGTGCATGAGAGTCTACCTTACAAAAACAACCAAACAAAACCAGTATCAAGACTACATTCCCTCTGTCCTATTAATATTCTAAATAGAAGGTACTAACTATAATTAATGAAGCATAACCTAGTTTTAGACACTATTTTTAAATTTTAGTTTCCCTGTTTTACAAGAGAAGCTGTCTGCTCCATCTCTGTGATCCTCCCATATTTGTTATTTTGCTTTTTTTTTTTTTTTTTTTTTTTTTCTTTTTTTCAAGACAGGGTTCCTCTGTGTAGTCCTGGACTCGCTATGTAGATGATACTGGCCTCAAACTCACAGCCATCTTCCTGCCTCTGCCTCCCCGAGTGCTGGGATTAAAGTCATTCTCCACTGCGCCTGGCTGACCTTCCCATATTTGATAAACAGGTCTGCTAACGGTAAATAAACACAAGTGGACAATACATGTCCTGAGCCTCTGTCAAGCCACCCCTTACTGAAAGCACGTTTACAAGCCACAAATCTGCCTGCCTGCTCATGCCAAGTGTCACCGCACCATACACCCCACGCAGAGATCTACACTCACGTGATCTTTTCCTATTTGTGCTTGCCCACCTCCTGCCATTTTCAGAACTGCCTGTCTTGTTCTATTCTTATATTTATTTGCTATTGAATCTGGACATGGGGTGCCCATGTGTGCGGTTCTGAGGTCAACTTGTGGGAGTTGGTTCTTTCCTTCCATAAGGTGGATCTCAGGGATCAAACTTGGGTCATCATCAGACTTGGCAGCAAGTCTGAGCCATCTCACCAGCCCCACGTTATCTCCTTAAACTCCAAGACTTCAACAAGACTGTTTCTTCTTAATTCATCTTGATTAAGAAACCACTATTGGGAGGCAGAGGCAGGGGGATCTCTTTGAGTTCGAGGCCAGCCTGGTCTACAGAGTGAGTTCCAGGACAGTCAAAGCTACACAGAGAAGACCTGTCTCAAAAAAAAAAAGAAAGAGAGAGAGAGAGAAAGAGAGAGAGAGAGAGAGAAAGAGAGAGAGAGAGAGAGAAAAAGAGAAAGAAAGAAAGAAAGAAAGAAAGAAAGAAAGAAAGAAAGAAAGA